GGAGACCATCAACAGAGTATATTCCCTTAATAGAAGTTAATAGTAATACCAGTAAAAAATGGAAAACCTCCACAATTATACGTCTTTTGACCATTGTCTCCCTTTTTCAATGCACCGTTCATGGGTGTGAGCAGGTCTCACTTATACCTTCGACTTTTGCTCAATGTAGAGGCCAAACGTGTAATAATCACACGACAGTGAATAGCGAAATTCAATAGTATGCAATAAGAGCTCTGTTTGCAAGTCAAAAATGAAGATTTTCAAAGGCACATGATGAAAATTACTATGCTGGAATTGCCATTGAGGTGCCAGAAAGAAACGCTCTATTTCACTCGAAGATACTCGAACCCCGTTCAATACAGCAAAAGGTGCCCTCACAAAGGGTCGTGCGTTGGACTTAAATGCGCAGGTATTTCATCAGAATCATTTGTCGAGGAACTTGGCATCGCGAATAATTTCACAGGAATAACTTACTGCACAGAATCTTGCGGAGGATTAGCGTGTTCCTGCGGATTTTCTTCATCAGGATGCCTCTTCCACCGAATTTACCATGTACCTTCCAATGAAAGCGTCTATGAAATTTTCAAATGCCCTTCGTGGTATGAGAGCATCAAATTCAAAGTGGAATATACTGGAAAAGGTCAATGCGGGAAAACCTATACAGGGGAAATCAAACCTTATACAAACCGACTACTTGGCAGAACGAGAATAGAAGTAACCTCTTTCTCTTTCTCACCGATACTTTATTCAATACAAGCAGTTCATCACAAATAATAAAACAACTGCGTCCCTGGACGACGGCACAACGTTCAGTTACGCTTGCACCCCCTTTTTCTTGTACACTTTGGCAGTTCTCATCAGCACCATCATGCTTCATCGCTATCAGCGCTGCGCATCTATGCGCAATTACAACAAAAAATCCAACGCATGTGTTGCGATTATCAACAAGCCGCACCTCGGTGCTCTACATACACTACGTGCTGCTCGGCAGCAGCTTTATTTTTTTTTCAAGAAAATTTCTCATTTTCTATTCTCCCTTGTGAAGTTACCCCTCAAAATAGTTCAAACCATCCTTCGACTTCTTTGATATTCAAATCTTTCTTGAAATTCTCAAAATTTATCGTAACATTTGCACAAGTAAAGTGTTATTATGGTAGAAGTACCTTTGAGGCTTTCCAAGCTGCTGCGGATCGTAACGAGCAGCGACAGCAGCAGCCAGTTCAAGAAACTCCTCCAGTTCAACAACTTAAACCTGGAGAACCACGGCTCTATCGCGATCAGGAAGAACTCTCAATTGTGCACTGAAAAGTTAAACGAATATTAGGACGAACAGACGAATTGAACTTTATGAGGAACCAAGTCGGCAGCACTCATACAAGGACGAACCTCCCCAAAAAGGAAAGAAAAAAGCGAAAACCGTTGATTCTTCAAACACCCCAATCAAACCAGTAAAAGAACGAAGAGTTGAGGAGCGTGAACTCCACGTCGTGAAGCGTCACGAACACCCTAAAGGAAATGGTCGACGAAGCACTTGACGGCCTCACGCAGATATTCAATCTTCGAAAGGAAATGAAGGCGGCGCTCGAGGACCTGAGACGCCTTCCGAGCCGTGAACCATCTCCTCAGCCAGGACCGAGCCACCAGCAGCTACCGCAGCAGTCGCCAACTAAGAAATGTGGGTTCTGTGACAGTCGTGACTATTTTGCAGCTGATTGTAGAAAGTATTACAGTCTTTGTGAAAGAAGCAGACGTGCTTTTAAACGAAGAAAATGTGAAGGATGTCTTAAAAGAGCCGCTCATCTTACCACTTCATGTGATACTGATAAAACTTGCCATTATTGCAAAATTGCTAGGCGAGAAGCGGAACTGGTTAAGCACAACAGTGCATTCTGTCCTCATAAATTCCCACTAGAATAATCCCTCAATTGATTGACTTCAACACATTCAAAATATCTCAATGTCATCAATTTTTCATTCAATCATCTCTCAAGTGTACCATTTTCAAATCCTCAATCTTCAAATCTTCGAGTCTATCAAGTTTTCGATTCAATTTCTTCAATCCTTTCAATTCTCTCAACAGAAGCCTTCAATTGCGATTTCAAATGTTCAAATTTCCGGAATCTCATGTTCAAGTTTTCTTTTTTCAACTCTGTTCAATCTTATTCT